TGAGTGTTTGCTAAGTTCATTCTTCGATTCTGCGAACAAGAACCCCAGAATCAGGTGGAGGCTCAAGGTCTGGAGAAGATCCTAGGGAGTTTGTATTAGTTTCCTCGTGTTATAGACGATTGCGTTGAACCACAGAGAGGTTAAGTAACCTGCCTAAGATCACACAGCTACTCAGTGGCAGCTCCAACTGTTTATGTGCATAAACGTCACAGCTGTCCTACCAGCTGATATGAGTGGTGTACCCACCTAGTAGATGAGCCAAGCACAGAGAGATTCTGCCTTGACCAAGATCACCCTGGGAAGTGTTGGAGTTATGCAATAAGTATAAGTCTACCAAATGATTTCCCTCATTTGTGGAGTATAACAATGAAGCAAAACTGTAGGAACAAAATAGCAGCAGACTCACAGACTCCAAGAAGTCAGGGTCTCACCACCTGTATTCAGGAGACCCAGAGGTGTGGCCCCAGCTCCAGCCCAGCCTCACCTCTCCCCAGCCTCCCTGCCTTCGCTGAAGCCCATCTTGGTTACACTGAGTGGTTACCAAAGGGGAGGGGTGGGGGTAGGGTGGGTGGGGATGGAGGGAGAAGGGGATCGTGGAGTATCATAATTAGTGCACATGGTGTATGTGGGGTCACGGGGAAGACAGTGCAGCACAGAGAAGAGACAGGGACTCTGTGGCATCTTACTACACTGATGGACAGTGACTGCAATGGGGCATGGGGGGGGGACTTGATAATAAGGGTGAATGTAGTAACCACATTGTTTTGCTTGTGAATCCTTCATAAGATTGCATCAATGATACCTTAATAAAAAAATAAAAATAAAATAAAATAAAAACAAAACAAAACAAATAAGTATAGGTCTGTCTGACTCCTGAGTGGGGCCCTGACTTGTGACACCCTGAATCCTCCCAAGTTCACCTGGCTGGGATCATGAGCCTCATTTTTACAGATGTGGAAACTGAAGCAAAGTGTTTAGGCATTTTGCTCAAGAGCATACATGTGAGAAAGGGCAGAGCCAGGCTGGGACTTGAACTGGGACTTTTCATGCCCAGGCTGGTGATTTTTCCTCTGCAGCCCTGTTTCCCAGGCTTCAAGCTCTTCCTTCCTGGCACTCAACAGGCCTGGCCTCCCACCATCCCCTCATGCCCTCTGCCGTTCCATCTTCAACCCTTGCATTTGTGCATCATTTATGTAGAACACCCAACAAGGAACAGTTCGTTCATGGCAAATGCCCCCATTGCCCCCTTTCTCTCAGCCCTCCCCAGGCACCACCATGGCCTTGAGAGTGCCCCATGAGAAAAAAGGAGTGAGACCAAGGGAGAGAAGCCCCTTCCCCTGGCCAGGCTCCTCCTCCCAGTGTCATAGTCCATTAAGAGACACCACATTTAGGGATGGCCCCCAAGGTCAATAGGAGGGGCACCTGACTGCATACTGCAGAATAAATCTGGTAAGCCCAGGTGTGGGTGGGGTGGGGTGCACATGCACAGTGAGAGAGAGGTCCTGTGATCAGGGCTGGGATTCCAGGGCCTCAGTCACCTCCACTCCTCTGGGAGGGGCTGGGTGCTGGGCCTAGCCTCAGGGTCTCACCACCTGTGTTCAGGAGACCCAGAGGTGTGGCCCCAGCTCCAGCCCAGCCTCACCTCTCCCCAGCCTCCCTGCCTTCGCTGAAGCCCGTCTTGGTTTCACTGAGGGGTTGGTTCCAAGCCTTGGGACTGACATCACAGAGCCCAGGGATTCCCCTCCCCAGCCCAGCTGAAAACAGGGCACTTGAGTTCCAGTCCTCATTCCATCATTCATCTGCTGTGTGACCTTGAACAAGACTTCCCCTCCCTGATTCCATCCTGATGTCACAGCTGAAGCTTCTAACTTCTGGTTCATGAGCTGAGGATTCCCATACAAGTCCAGAGAGCTGGGTCTTGGAGCTGACCACAGGGTCAGAGCTGTGACAGGGTTTGGAAAATAATCAGAAAATTGGTAGATGGTTCTTTTCTCTTTTTTTAATCATCTAGGTTTTAATTTTTCTACATAACAATAGTGGTAGCATTTGAACATTGCTATCACTTTTCAGTGAGGAAACAGGTCTAAAGCAGGCTAGTGACTCACCTGAGGTCACCAGAAGGGTTAGCTACACACTGGAGTCTACAACCCAGGGTTCTTGGCTTCCTTTCTGGCAGTCTCATCCTTCACCACATCCCTTCCATTTCCTGCTGGTCACAGCCCAAGTCTCAGCCCACCAACCAAGATCCACTGAGGAAACTGAGGCAGAGATGAGCCCAGGCTGATCCTCCAAGGACATGGACAGAGGCTAACAGTACCCTCACTATCCCTATGGCTTCTTGCCAAGGATCTGCTAAGGTCATCAGCCCAAGGCTATTCCCAGCAGCCCAGGTGCCCCCTTTGTATCCCTCAGTACCTGGCTAGAGCCTTGGCCAGAGTGGGAGGTGGCTAATGATGAGACTTTAGGGCTCAGGCTAGTCCAAGACCTGCTACTCCAACTGGGCAGTTTGCAGACCAGTCACAGTAGAACATGTATTAGTTACTTATGGCAGAAGACAGATTTGTTCAATGATTCATTAAGAACCTGTTATTGTTTACTACTGGGGATACATCAGTGCACAAAACAGGCCAAAATTCCTATTGTGGAGTCTATCCATATTTTAATGCATGAAGACAGACTAAAAAAAAACAACAACAAAAATGAGCAAGTGAGAGAAAATGTTAGATATCTGAAATTCTACAAAGAAAAATAATGCTGGAAAGGGAATAGAGAGTGCCTATCTACTTTTTAGTAGGGTAGCCAGTGGAGACTCTATTTGAGGTGACATTTGAGCAGAGATTATAAAGAGGGAGCTTTGTAGATATCTAGAAGAAGAGTGTTTCAGGCAGAAGGAATAGCAAGTGCAAAGGCCCAGAGGCATAGCATGCCTGGCATGTTCTAGGAGCAACGAGGCCAGTATGGCTAGAGTGGTATGATCCAGGAAGAGTGAGCAACATAAACAAATGTGAAATGTCCACTGGAGACAAGATTTATGGCAGGAAGGGACGAGCCATTCAAGAGAGGAAGCCGGTGTCAAGGGGTCTGGATACAGAGAAGGTTGAGGAGAAGGAACTCCAGAGAAGGCAGTGAGGGCATTCTGAGAGAACAGCTCGTGCAAAACTAACCAACGTGAGGTATCTCATCAGGTTCTGGTGTGAAGCTCCTGGTGCTGGAGCAGGAATAGGACGCGACTGAGGGGCAAGGCTGAGGAGGTTAGCAGCAGCCACCCTGAGACCCGCAGAGAAGCACAAGGAACAGGAGGTCTCAGGGAACCTTAAGATAAGGTTGGGAGGGTCAAGAGCTTGTGGTCAGAGAGTGAGAGATGGGGTTCAAGGTTTGAGAAGTACAGCAATGATGATGAAAGGTCGGGAGGGCTGTGGTCAGGGGTAAGTGGGGTGGCCATGCCTCCAGGATGATGGCAGGACTTGGGGATGTGAGGAAGAACAGCCAGGCCCATCAGTCTGTCCTCAGCATCAGTCTCCCCCATTGCATAGGGTGTGAGGGAATGATTTGCTACCACTGGGGGGCAGTGCAAGGCAAACGAGTCTGGGCTAGGCATGTACCAGCAACTCTTTCTTTTCCTTCTCCTTCAGCAGCGCTCTGGGATTGCTCTCCAAAACGTGCTGGTACTTCCCTGGCCGTTGGTCCCATACAGCAGTGCCCAGACAGGGCAGAGGAGGCATAGTGTAAGAAGGGGAAGCCCCCTTGGTTTCTGTCTCACAGCAGGGACCCAGCAGGGAAACCCCACAGGTCCCAAAAGGAAAGTGGCAGCAATGGGCCTTGGGGAAGACCAAGAAACCCCCATCTTCTCCCTGAAGATGGGAAACCCAGGGTGGAGCTGAGGGTGGGGCTGTGCTGGAAGGGAGCTCTGTGGTTGATGTGGCCCAGCCCTGACAGCCATCTCAGGGCAGTAACACCAGGATTATGGTAGGACCTGGCTGAGCCCTGAGCCTGACCTCACAGAAACCCAACCTGGCCACAGGCTGAGCCCTGACCCTGTCCATCCACTGAGCTCTTATCCCAGCCCAAGCCTGAGCCCTGACCCGGGTCACAGGCTCAGTCCCAATGTTGGCTACAGACCAAGCTCTGTGCTGGGTCTGGACTGAGCTCTAAGCCTAATCCTGGTTGGTCCCAAGCAGAGCCCCCAGGTCATTGATAGCTCTGACAACAAACAAAGGCAGAGCCAGGACGTTGGCCCCAGGCAACGCTCTGTCCAGCCCTAGACCAAGCCCTGATGCTAGTTACAGACTGGGCTCTCATCTTAGATCTGACTCTGGCCAAAGACTAAGCTCTTGTCCCTGAACAGACCAGTCTCATCCAGCCCTGACTCTGGCTATAGACTGAACCCTAAATCTGCCCAGATTGAGACCCCACCACCCCACACAAAGTTCCATCCCAGCCATCCATTTAGCCCTGACATCCCTCACACTCCCTCCCTCAGCCATCTGGTAAACCAGAAGAGAGTAAGGATGACTCAAAACCCCAAGGCCCCTCTGACGGCAATCCCCTTACTTGGCCATCCATCTTTTGAAAGGCAATGGACTGGTGACAGCATTATAATGATAATGACAGAGCAGAGAAAGAGGGACTTGGAGTCTCTGGGACCTACTAGCAATTCAAGTGGATAGCTCATGCAAGTGGGGAAGTGCAGGGAGGGCTGAACCTGGGGGGCTCAGCAGGGGTTCAAGAGCTTGGATTGACCGAAACCCCAGCTTCCCGCCACCCATCACTGCAGCTCCCACCCCCTCTGGGAAGGGAAATTACATTTCCCCATTTTAGCAAGGGGTGGTGAGGAGGGAAGACTGAGTGAATGCAGAGCTGAAAGTACAAGCAGGACGGAAAGTGAAACCGGCACAGCCCCCACTATAAGATTCCCCCTACCCGGGAGATGGCTGGCCAAAGAGGCTGGGCCCCGCCATGGGCCAGATGGCAGGCGACCTTGGCTGGCGTGAGTTTGAGGCCAGGGTTGGGGTCAGAGGGGTGGGAGGCTTGGCTGAGACCTGGCAGAGGATGGGAGAGCTTGACTGGTTTGGATGGGGGCCAAGGGCTGAGGGGCAACTAACTTGGCCAAGACTAAGGATATAGGATACAGCAGGCTGAGGAATGGGAATGAGGCTGACATGAATGCGAAGAAGGACTGTGGCAGAATAATGGTTCAGCCATGGCTGGTCAGAGGATGGGACAGTTTGCTGGCATGGATGGGGGAGGGCTAGTAGGGGTGGTCTGGCAAGGATTGAGCTGAGGATGGGAAACCTTGTTTGGCATGAATGGGGTGGGGAGTATTGGGCAGGTAGTTTGACCAGGACCAGAATTGAGGAGATAAGTGAAGAGTTTGGTTGGAGTGAATGAGCAGGGGCCAAACAGTTTGGCTGAGAACTAGCACTGGCCATAGGGAGAACAGCAGAAGAAGTTGGCAAGAGTGCAGGGCTGGGGCCAAGGAATCAGCAGCCTAACTGAGTCAAGGGTCTGTATTTTAAAACTTGGAAGCAGGTCCAATCTGTAGTTGGTGTCCGAAGGATTCAAAGTCTGGAACTGGAGCTATAGACCGAGGAGCAGATGGTAGGTCCAGAGTTGGGATGAAGGGCTGGAAGATGGAGACAAAACCATCAAAGGCCAAAGCTGAACCATCAAAGAACCCAGTATTGGCTGCAAAGGGTAGGGAAAGCCAAGGGAAGGTTCTGGGGGCTCCAGAGTTCAGATGGGAAGTGGAGGGTCAGTAGGAAATGGCACAGCTCAATTCAGGGTTGGTAATATCCACTAGGGCCTGGGGGCATCCACTCTCCTTCGGTATAGATCTAGGAAAAACCCCACTCTGCTTAATGTCTACAGAATTGACAAGTGGCCCCCAAGCTAGGGAGCCTGAACACTAGTGATTGCAGGCACTGCCCACCACCACTGGAAGTCCTCGGGGGATGTGGAAGTACTCAGAAGCTCCTCTTAGTCTTTATTGAGAGGATATTTTGAGGAGCAGAGCCCATGGTTTAGAGATGAACGGATCAGGAAGAGGCACAGAGAGGAGGTTGAGCAGGAATAGATTCAGATTTAGGGGCTGGTTTTGGTTTGTGTTTTGCAGAGAATTGTGTAACTCCAGAGATTGCTAGATTTCCTCTCCCTGAGGGAGAAACCGCAGAACACTACTCTTTTCCCAGAGCATACACCCCACTGCCCCTCTTCCTTCTGTCCAGGAAATGCAGGGCAGGAAGCACTTTGAGAAATCAGCCAATCTGATTCCCCCATTTTACAGAAAGGAGCCTGAGGCACAGAGATAAGAGGTGACTTGCTCAAGGGCAGAGACTATATGAGAAACAGAGGTTCTGCCTCCCATTCCAGGCCCTCCTCCCACTCCTGGCATCCCCTGTTCCTTCCACACTGTAGAGTAAGCCACCTACCTCACTGGTGGAGGCTGAACCAATCTGCTCTCTGGCTTCCAGAGACATAACCTCCTGCATTGCCAGCCTACCCTCAGGGCCCTAGTTCAGGCCATCAGAGCTGCCTGGCTAAGCCCAAGGAATCCTTGGCAGAACAGATTGTGCCCACTCTCAGGGAGGTGGCTGCCTTCTCTGAGTTCCCTGGAGGAAGTACACAAACTCTGAATTTGGGCAGATCTGGAATCCAGTCCTGGTTCCCTCATCTTCTGGCTATATGACTTTGGACAACTTAACCTCACTGAGCCTCACTTTCCTCATCTACAAAATCAGGGAGAATAATGCTGCCCAGGCTGCCACATAGAGCTGTGCAGTTCACTGAAAAAGACCCTCAGCCAGGGAGTTAGTGGAGGGTCAAGACCCAGCCTGAGATCTGCTTGCAAAGGTGGGCACTCTGTGTAATGCTCTGTCTGCCTGAGTGAAGGAGCACCTTCTTTTTGCTTGTACAGAGACAATACATGGTGTCCTCAATAGCTATCATCTCATTAGTGGCTTTGAGAGCCCAGTGAGATGATACACAGCACTTGCCTGTAGCACAGGTTCAGAAAAGGCATGCTCCCTTCCTACACCCAAGTTCTTCTTAAGCTTGCCCCTCATCTTATCTACCATCTCCCCATCTCTCCAGGGCTCAGCCTTTTGCTATTTTCCTTGCTTCTGGCTCGAGCTGGTGTCTGGGGATTCCCGAGACCACCTGGGAGGTCCCCCTTGAGCCTGCAGGAGTTGCGGAGGGAGTTCAAGGTCAGCCTGCATCTTGCCAGGAAGTTGCTCTCTGAGGTTCGGACCCAGGCCCACCATTTTGTGAGTTTCTGTAATGCAACCAGTTCCGGTATGGGCAGATCCCCAAGCCTTCTGGCCCCCACTAACAGACCTTGCTCCACAGGCTGAATCTCACCTGCCAGGAGTGAGCCTGAACCTCTTGCCCCTGGGAAATCAGCTTCCCAATGTTTCCATGACTTTCCAGGCCTGGCGCAGCCTTTCTGTGAGTGTGGGCTGGTGGAGTGGGGCAGGCAAGCTGGAAGGGCTGAACTGGGTAGTTGGAGATTAAATTGGGGATTGAATTGAAAAGTGGACTTGGGCATAAACTGAGGGATAGAATCTGGATGAGGTTGAGTACGTTTGTGGATATAAAGATGACGCTGGAATAAAGAAATGACATGAGGAAGAGGATGTGAGTGAAGCTGGGCCTGGAAAAAGGTGGGGATGGGAACAGAATGGGATTGGGGCTAGAGATTAGGATGGAGGAGGGATGGAGCTGGCATTAGGGCTGAGACTGGGGAGAAGTTAGGGAAGGAACAAAATTGGGGACGAGAGAGAAAATGAAGTGGAGGTTGGAGAAAGGATGGAGAGTGCTGGTGAGGATGGGAATGGAGATGGGTTGAGAGAGGGGAGCATGAGGCAGGACACATGGAACAGGGACAGAGTTGAGATTAGCAATGGGAATAAGGATAGAGAAGAGGTAGGAGACAGGATGAAGACAAGTGAGGAGAAGGAGATGGGATGGGTTAGTGGAGTGGGGAAGAAAAGGGGTCGTTGGCAGAGCAGTAGACAACGGAGATGTGGTCAGGGGTGGGACTGAAAATGAGGTTGGAAAAGGAGCTAGGATAGTGATCAAAGACAGTGGAGATAGGAGTGAGGATGGAGATAGGGTTAAGGATGAGAACAGATACAGGGATGGGATGGGAACTGGAGTTTTGGATGGGAATGGGACCCGGACAGGGCTGGGATTGGGTTTGAAGTGGGTCATCCTTGGCCTGTGAGCCTTTCCTGACCCATTCCCTCCCCTTCCACAGGACTCAGAAAGACTCTGCTTCCTCTCTGTGATGCTCCACTCCTTTCATGCCTTGTTGGGAGGGCTGGGGAGCCAGAAGGGCTGGACCAGCTCAGAGAGGATGCAGCTGTGGACCATGAGGCTGGATCTCCGGGACTTGCAGCGGCATCTCCACTTCCAGGTACAGTGCCCACCTACCTCCCTAGCCCCTAGAGACCAACACACAGATTTGAGGCTCTTTGGCTCCATTTTTAAAACACCCCTTGCCCTTAAGATTAGCACACATAATGTAGCGGGCTGGGGGAGGGACACGGGAAAGGCAGTATATACAGAGAAGACAAGTAATGATTCTATAGCCTCTTATTATGCTGATGGACAGTGACTGTAATGGGGTATGTGGGGGAGACTTGATAATAAGGGGAGTCTAGTAACCATAATGTTGTTCAAGTAATTGTACATTAATGATATAAAAAAAAAAGTGAGTGATGTTAAGCTGAAAAAAAAAAAAGAACTAAAATAACCCTTATTCCAAAGGGACAAAACAAAACAAAAAAAACTACCCCTTGCCCACAGGCTGGGTAATTTTGGAGGGAGATGCTCCTGTTTCTCTGAGTGTGTGTGTGTGTATGTGTGTGTGTGCATGTGCACCAGGCCCTGGCTCTTTCACCCTAAATCTCTGCCTTCTTTTGAATGTTGGTCTTAAAAGAAAAAACATCTTTGAAGCCCCAGAATAGCATCCAGCATCAGCAGGCCCTACAAGAAAGTTGGTTCTTTTCTCCCTCATCCTCTGACATCACCACATCCTCCTGAACATTTCAAAAGGAAATAGGAATTTTACCCTTAATGAGAGGAGAACAGAAACTGCAAGCAGCATAAAAAAATCACTGTACCACCTTTCTGCCCATTTCTGATCCTGAGACGACCCTAAGAGAGGAACTGCCAGAACCTAAAATGCCCAGGGCAGTCCTGGACAAGTGAGCCAGCTATGTGAGCGTCTTGCTCTATGACTTCCAGTTCTTGAACCAAAAAATCAGGCAATACACGTGAGATGATGACATAATGGAAGATCTTAAGTAGGGGCTGTCCAGGGAGATGGTGACCTTGTGGTCTCTGATGTCATTCTACACCACTGGGCACACAGGAACAGGGTCACTCAGAGTCTCAACCTGGCCATTCTCTGACCCACAGGCCTCTCCTCACAGGTGCTGGCTGCAGGATTTAACCTGCCTGAGGAGGAAGAGAATGCAGAGGGTAAGGGGCTGCTCCTAAGGGCTCTGGGCAGCCCCGCACAGATGGCAGCCCACGTGTCCTGGCCTCAGCTCATCTACACCTACCAGTTGCTGCACTCCTTGGAGCTTGTCCTGTCTCGGGCTGTACGAGACTTTCTTCTGCTCTCCCAAGCTGGGAACCCAACCCAGGCTTTGGGATGCCTAACACCCAGCTCCCAGCCCCCATGCAGTGACTTCTTAGCCCCTCCCCTTCACCCTTTAGGACTTTAGGACTGTCATCTGGGCAAACAGGGCAGCCTCCAGCTCATCTGCCTTAGACAGGGCAGGACTCCACCAGCCTTCTGCCCCAGGCCCTACCCAATAACTAAGGTCCCTCCAGTCCTTGTCAGATATTTATTTCTTGAATATTTATTTATTGTTTGGGAAATTATGGTTTATTTATTGTTTTAGGACCTACCAGTAATCCTCAGGCTAGGCTGCCATGCAGGATGCCTAATAAAGCACTCTCACCCTCTCTTTGTCTTGGTTATTTTTCAGAGAAGGGGTACCTGACACCCAAAGGCAAGAGAGCCTGGAATGGAGTCTGCAGCCTCTGGTCATCCTGGACATGACTCCACTCCTAAATTTTGGGGGTCCTAGCCCACCTTCCTCTACTCTGGCTTGATCAGCTGGTTTTTGCCATAGTAACCATCAGAGTACTGAGACTGAGCTCCCATTTTGAAGGCTCGGGGCAGCTGGTCTGCTTCCCATCAACCTTTGACTGCAAATGGAGCTCTGTAGGCCCCCTAACCCCTTTGCTTTCAGCTGGCTTCAACCCCAGAGGTTTGAATTACTCCTACACGGCTCTCTAAAGAGCTTAGAGGTGGGGGTGGGGAGTGGGACAGTCAGAGAGGGAAGGTTGTGGGAGAACAGTCTCTGTCCCCTCTCAGCCCTCTGGATAACTGAGACAGGTTGTGGGGCAGAGTAAGGATGGCTGTGAGAGGTGGTCCCAGCAGGGCAGGTGGCACATCAGCCACACTGGAGAGTCAGATTCCTTAAGGTCATAGTTCTTGCAGACTTCTGGTACTGTCCACTCCATGAATGACACACCAGGAAACTAAGGCCCAGAGAGTGGAAAGGATGCATCCAAAGTAGTAGAGAGAGTCAGGCTGAGCAGGGTTCACCTGAGCCTTCTGCCCCTCACTCAGGGCCCAGTCACTGGGGCTTTGGCCGGCCCAGTCGGGCTTGCAATTCCTGCATCATGCTGGGGTGTGCAAGACCAAACCTGGAGATGGGAGACAGGCCATGGGAGTGGATCTCTAGTTATCTGCTGCCTCTTCTCCATCCGAGCCCAGTCACCACATCCTGCACTTACCCATGTCCCAGAAGCCTTCTCCTGGTTGGCACTGGGGTCCCTTCAGGCCTTGAGGGGCTTGGCTCTGGGGGTTCCTCTGGCTGGAGAATTCCCTGCTCAGGAACTGACAGCTCTTCTGCCGATGGGGTGCTGGGAGGCTCCTCCTGCTGCTCAGAGGCTGAGCCCCGTTGGAAAGAGGGCCGGGAGCGTCGCTGTGAGGAGCTGCGGGAGAGGAGTACCCGGCTCCATGGGGCAGACACATCCAGGCGGGACCCAGGGAGCAGGGCCTGCAGAGAAAGGGGTATGGAGTACCATGGGCCAGCTTCAAGACTCTGCTTTGTCCAGCCCTGGATGCTGCCTGGAGCCCTCACCTCACTCCAGCTGCTGTGAGAGTCCCCATGGGCACCTCCTGAGGCCTCCACACCTGGCCTAGGTGCAGCTTCAGCAGGGTCCGGGCTTGTTGACTGATCCTCTTGGTCCTGGACGTCCTCCAGGCCTTCTGGATCAGTGTCCTCAGCCTCTGCCCTCTGGTCTCCAGTCACTTTGACATCCTCCACATCAGGGGGCCTTCGTGCCTCTCCTTCAGGGTGGTGGTCCCCACACTGTCCCTGACTGCCTTGCCCCTGCTCTCTCCCTTGCCATCCCCCAGCCTCCTTTTCCAACAGCATCTTCCCTCCTGGCTGCCTCTTAGCCTCCGTTATGGCCTTGGTCCCCTCAGCCCCCACCACCCGGGAACCCAAGGTAAAGCCATCCATCCTGCAGCTTCCTTGTGCCACTGCAGATTCCCCGACCTCTGCCCACCCATTCCCAGGCTCACCCTCAACAACCCCTGCTCTGCCACCTCTACGAGTCACCTCCTCCTCTGAGCCCTCCAGGCCAAACCCCCGCCCTCCCCTATCCTCTCCCTCTGCAGCCTCCATCAGCTTCCCACCTCCCTCAGCTTCCTCTCTGCCTTCTGAGTCCCAGGTTGTCCCAAAGACCACACCCCATGCTTCCCCAGCCCCAGCTGCCCTTCCGTCGTGAGCTGCCTTATCCTCCACAATCACAGAAGCCAAAGAACTGGCCCAGGTGTCTTCACTGTCTTGGAGACTCAGAGACACCTCTTCCAGTCTCTGGTCTCCACTGAATGTTCTGTTTGCCCCCCAGGGCACCACCTCCTCATTCTTGGTTTCTCTGGCATCTGACTCTCCCAGTGACTGACCTGTCCCTGCTTCTGCCCCACACCTTCCACCCAGATCCTGGATCTCTGCTCCAGGGGCCTCTCCCTCCTCTGCTTCACACTCTGCTTCCTTATACCCCCCGCCAGACTCCAGGACATCTGGCAGCGCAGACTCTCGGTCTCTTTCAGCCTCAGCCTCCTGTGCCTGGCCTCCTGCAGCCCCCTCCTCTCCCTCAGCACCTGCTTTTTCCTCCTGGATATCCTCTCTCTCCATATCTCTTCTCCAGTTTTCCCAGGCTTCTGCCTCAAAAGTGTCAGGCTTTGTATACCCCATGTTCCTGGGATATTCCTCCAGGCTCCTTTCCATTTGCTCTTTGCTCAAGGCTGGAATGTTCCAGGGCTTTTCCTTACCCCCTTGCCCTTCTTTAGGTTGCTCTGTTGGGGTCTGGGGGCATCCCATCAGTTCAGGTTCCTGGCCTTCAGTCCTCTCCTGCTTGAGGCCACTCCCCTCCACCCCAAATAATTCTTGGTATGTCTGGGCCTCTTCCTCACTCCTCTCTCCACTGAACTCCTTCTCAGGCCTGGCCTCTGGAGTGGCCTCCAAGTCAGCATTACCATAAGCCTTGCTTGTCACTCTTCCCGTGAGCAGTTCAGCCTCTGCAGCCCAGCAACTCTCTTCCTCCGCCTTGGCCTCCTCTGCCTGCACCAAATCCTCCAGACTGACTTGAACAGCCCTGACCTCTGAGTCTTGCCTTTCCACAGCCTCTTTCCAACCCTCATCTGCCTGGACTTCAAAGTCCTCCCCTACCTCTTCCTCTGACCCCTGGCCTTTGGCAGTCTCCCTCCCTGCTGTCTGGTCCTTAGCTGCTTTTTCCATTCCCTCAGTTCCCAGGGCCTGCGTCTGTTTGGGGAAAAGGTTTATCTCAGCCTCCCTATTCTCATCCACCTCCTCTTGGTCTCCCTTGGAGGCCTCTTCTAGGGTCCAGACTCTCCCAATGTCCTTTGAGATCCTTTCTCCTGGGACTATCCCATATTCTGTCTCCCTAAATCTTGGTAGGTCAGCCTCCTCCTCATCTGAGGTCATCCTGGCTTCCTCTCCTCCTGAGGCTGACCCAGCCTCTTCCCTGCCTGGGGTTACCCTGGCCTCCTCTCTGCCCAAGATTGACCCAGCCTCTTCCCCATGTGAGGTTGTCCCAGCCTCCTCCCTGCCCTTGGTTGCCCCATCCTCAGATTCTGTCCCTGGCTCCTGTGGCTCCGGGGCCCTTATGCTTTGGCTATCCCTCGCCACTACTGCCACCTCTTCTTCCCTCACAGCCCCTTTGGTGCCAGGCCCCTGGATCTCCTCTTCCACTGCCTCCTTGACCACCTGCTTTGACTCCCTGCTGTCCCCTGCCACCTTTTGCCCACCAGTGCTGGCCTTTTCCTCAAGCTCCCTGTGCCAGGTCCACTCTGACTCTGCCCCTCTTGCCACCCTTGGCTCTTCCGCCCTGACCTCTTCCTCCTCCTCCTCCTGTTCCCAGGTTCTCAGTGTCTCCCCTCTGTTCACTTCCTGCTCATCGGGCTCCTGACTTTCCTGAGCTGGACTACTCCTGTCTTGATGAGCCTCAGATACTGCTTCAGACTTCTTCCTGGTCTCCAAGAGGCCTCTTGGCTGCTGGCACCTGGTGGCTGTGGCTGCTTCCCAGGCCCCAGTGTCCTGCTTATCTGCTTGTGACCCATAGGAGCTGCCTTCCCCCCAGCCCCAGGTCTGTTCTGTAGCTGAGCCTCTCTCCTGGCATCTACCAGCCTCTCTAGGCCCTCTCAGCCTTCCATCACCCTGCCTTTGGCTGCTTCCAAGGCCCTCCAGGGCCTCCTGGGCTTCCTCCTCTACAGCCCTCCCTGGCCTTGGCCTTCCTGCAGCTACTTCCTCCAGTTCCTCAGCTGCCTGCGCCTCCCTCCTCTCTGCAGTGAGGACCTCATCTCCCATAAGGTAGGAGATAAAGGTGCTGAAGGAATCCTAGAAGAAAAGGGGGCATGGCAAAGGCATTAAGGGGAGGACCAGCCCTCTCCCTGGGGCCCCTGGGCCAGAGGAACTCAGGATAAGGGAGAGGGAGAGGGGAGCTAGGAGGAGAAGAGAAACAAGGTCTGTAGAAGGAATAGGAAAGGGCATAGGTTAGGGGTGTGTGGATGTGTTTGTGGAAGTGGGGGACTGAAATCCTGAAGAGACTAGGCTAGGAGGCTGCCTAATCCTGGAGAAGGGACCTCAACTCTGAGGAGAGTCTCAAAGGGAGAGAGAAGATGAACCCCTAGGGAGCAGGTGACAGTCTCTGGCATCTTTTTGCCCCTCTCACCAGTGCCCCCCTCAAGGCCTGATGTAGCCCAGAGAGATGTTGCCGGAGGAAATCCATCCTGTCTCTGCTGTGTGTCCAGAAAGCTGACAGTGACCGTCCCCACCCACTAAGACAAGCCAGTCTTCCCCAGGACCCACTTCCTCTTCCCCTGTCTCTCCCTGACACACCCCACCCTAGGCCCTGCCCATCCCCTCCAATGAACGCCATGGCAGCTTTCAGCCCAGGCTAGGAGATGGGTGTGCACCACGCAGACGACTCAGGTGTACATGTTGAGCTGAAGGGTGACGGGGAAGGCCAGAAAGAAAAAAGTGGGCACAAAAGATCTCAGAATTGGGGGTGGGGGATGGGGCATGTGGCAATTGCAGCTCAAGTGACTCAGGTCTTATATTCACACCTCAGCCATTTCCGTCTCCCCACAAGCCACAGCCACTCTGTGAGAGGAAGCTGGGGTTTGTGGTTCCTGTTTTGCTGGGGACAAGGAGTAGGGAAGAGGAGGGAGCTGGTAAGAGCTCTGGCTTCAGAGTCAATACTTCACCTAAGGGGAAGAAGGCTGGGTTGGTGGCTCCAGTGGCGATTTCCTCATCTGTAGTCATTCCTGCAAAACAAATCTTGGCTAAGCTTTGTATTGTAGCTATTTGTGTCTACCTCCCATCCTCCTGTGAGTTCCTTGAGGGCAGAAGCCGTGAATGTTGCTGAATTTCTAGAGCCCTGCATGGGTAGAAGGATCTGGTTTTTCCATTGGTTGATTTGACCTGGGAAGCAGACCAAAGGGGGCACATTTCAAATAGTATCTGAGGGCCTGGTGGTGAGAAAGAACTGGCAGAGGTGGGCCCCTGCTGTTGGAAGCCCACAGGAGAGATTAGCAGGGGAAAGATGTGAAGAACAAAATTCAGAATGCTGCTTTACCACCTAGAGGAAGGTAAGAGAATAATCACTCCTTATTTGGGACTATGTTCAGTGGCCCTGACCTATCACCTCTTTCCCAAGTCCCCTCTCTAAGGCCCACTTTCCCGATTTTCAATGAGAGGAACTAGATGAGATCACAGAGTCAGAAACTTGGGCCCTAGAATCATCTTGTCTAAGCACTCTTGTTGCAGGCAGGAATCCTGCAGTAGCCTGCTGAGCCATCATCCCTGCAGCTGGTGGTCTATTTCTTACTGATAAAAGGATCTCTAAAGTCACCTTTAGGTCTAATGTTGTATGATCAACAATAACTTTAACTTTTTGTTTTCTCATATGTGAACGAGGGATTGGTCTACTTCTATATTATTCTTTGGTTCTAGTATTATGTGGTAAAAGAGATCTCTTAACGTCTTGGATACTGCTAACAGATCATTCATGAAATCCTCTTCGGTGGATGTTATCCTTATTTTCAGTTTCTAGAACAATCTAAGGGCAACGGACAGGAATTCAAATGACCTGAAGCTGGCCGTGCTTTGTTCCCAGCCAGAAACAGTCTAGTCGGAAAGTAGTATCAAGGCGCCCATATTTGTTTCTGGCAAGGGCGGGCCGCTAGAGGAGCTGAAGCCATGTCTAGTGCTGGCAGGATGCTGTCACGATTTGGGCACCGGTAATCTAACTCCGCGGCTCTAATTGCTAATCCCACCCGCTCCAGTTTTTAAATTGTGGTTCCAGGGACTTCTCGGCATCCCCCTGTCCCACGCCCAAAGCTGGGAAGGCTAAACAGAAAACAGAGAAGACCCGGAAGTTGTGAGGACCTCCAAGCACGTGATGGGGAAAAAAACAAACAAACCCGGTGCTGTCACGTGACTCGCCAACCTGGCTGTACTTCGGAGCTGAACGTTCAGCTGCTCTTAAAGGTACAGGCTGCAGGTCCCCTGCATTGCAGGGGCTGGGGAGGCTGACTCCTACGGGTGGCGTTGTGGTGGGGCTGCGAGGTGCGAGGTGGAGCCTAGGGTTAGCGTGGTGGAGGGCCGAGCGTGAGTGCAACTGGGAAGCCGTAGCTGCGACCGACAATGGGCCGTTGATCCTTCTCACCTATCTCATGCCTCAATCTGTCAGGTCGGAGCCAACCCTGAACTGTCACTGACTTTGAAAGCTTCGAAGATCTGAACTTGATGCCATGGGAGGCTGTGCGGGCTCTGGTAGGCGCCTTTCGGATTCCGACGGTGAGTATTCCGTCCTGGCTCTTCGGGAGTGTCAGCCTCTGCTCCAGCTGCTCAGCCCTGGTAGAACACTGTGGGGTCACCGTGCACCTGAGAATGGGGTGGGGGTCATGCCTTCTTATTCTCATCCTCCAGGGGAGGAGACCGCCTCGGAATCTCGGCCCGCTCTGTTGGACCGCCAGGGCGTCGACTGGAGGAGGAACGGGATGGGTTTCTGGTGAGTGGCCTGGAGAGTTCAGCAGAAGTGAAAACGGAGTGAGAAGAGGGGAAGCGACAGGAGAAAAGAGAAGGGTTGAGCGGGGAAACAGTTGCTAAATGCACAAATATTTACTAAGCCAGTTGGTTTGTCCTGAGGCAGTGTATTAATTTCCCAGACTTCATTCCTTTACCTACGACCTTCGCATTTTGGCCAGATCCTCACACTACCTGTTAGTTTTATTTCAATAAAACTGGGGTGTGTGTGTGGGGAACTAGGATTATTTACTTCATGTTTTCTTCCAACCAATTAAGCCTTTATATATGTAAATACACATCTTTTTTAAAAAGAAAACTAAATCACTACTCCAGACAGAAAGTGAATATTTCCCTAATGTCCATTTAAATAAATGCCTCACCACTTTTTAAAAGGTTATCCATCTACCTCCTAAAATCATTCAAATACCGAATTTTGGGAAATGCTAGCACTAACCTAAACATTGAGGACTTGGGTGGCAGATTGGATTGAAAAATCCAATCTCTGAGCCTCAGTTTCTCCATAGTAAAAGGGAAGAGCAGTAGTAGACTTGTGAAAAGACACTTGAAATCTCTGGCACTGGGCCAGTTCCCATTCTCAGCACTCTGGGAGATGAGGGTAAGCAAATGAGATCCTTTAAGGACCATAAAGGACTTTGATGTTACCTTATTTTGGTCCCCACAGCATTCTGTGAGGTAGTCAGGAGAGAAATTTTTCTCCCTCTTTTGCACATGAGTAGACCTGAGGCCAGTCAAGTTGGAAGTGGCAGACTTGGGACCTGAACACAGTCCTTTGGGTTTCAAGCCCCAGATCTTTCTTCTGTACCACAGCGCATCAGAGTGGATCAGTGGATGAGAAATGCCCAGGAACTGAATCATGGTGGGAACTTGGAGAAGAGAGTCGTCAAGGATGACTTCCTTCTCTTCCTGGGAGAGGTCTCGAAGATTAGATGTGAACCCAAGTCTGTGACCCCAAACTCTATATTTCTAACCCTAACACTGAGTGGAGAGAGTGTCATGATAGAGAAAAAAGAGGGAGCTGATCAAAGGGCACAAGAAAGGGGGAAGTTTGGTGCTAGAACTGTGGGTAGATGGTAGGCCTGAAGGAGGTTAAGATCTGTTCTTATATGTCAATTATATTTCAGTAAAACTGGGGTGAAAAAAATCTCTCCTGCTCACTCTAGGCTCCTGGGCCTTTGCAACAACTTCTCTTACGTGGTGATGCTCAGTGCTGCCCATGACATCCTTAGCCACCAGAGGGCATCTGGGAACCAAAGCCATGTAAGTAACGCTTTTACCACCACCCTGTTTAGTCCTTGTGGGGAGATGTGGGATTCACCCTGGGCAGAGGCTCCCTTGAAAAACTCATGGAATGGCATGGCCTCGAGTGGGGCAAGGGAGCAAAAGTTTCCAGTCTCCCAGACCTCAGAGGCAGAAGGGTTTTTAAGAATCAGTTGATGTCAAGTGTACAAAGTCAGATATTGGCTTGGTTGGATGGACCGTGGTCTATGGCAGGGTTTCTTAACACTGCCCGTAAGATATTTTGGGCTGGCTGATTTTTTGTCACGGGGCAGCCCTATGTATGATGTTGTATGATGGTTGGTAGCATCTTTGGCCTCTACCCACTAAGTGTCAGCAGCATATCCCCCACCCTCCATTGGAGACAAGAATACCTCAAGACGTTGCCAAATATTCCCTTGGGTGGCATACATTCCCCTCTGGTTGAGACCCTTTTGTCTATCTATGATGAGCTGGAGGGTACATGCCCCAAGGGAGCAGCTGCTACCTTGCAGGCTGAACAAGGGCATTTGGTCCAAGATCAGATTTTCTGGGAACCCAAGTTTTTTAAAAGAAAGCCCATGAATGTGTTACCAAATAAAATCCATTTACAGTGCTATCTTTGGTCTGTGGGTCATTAGATTGAGGTTGCCATGGAAACCTCCTGCTCCCCATTGTGCATTTAGAGAAACTGAGGTCCCCAAAGGCCAATACTGGTCCAGGGCCGTCCTTCAAGTTAGAGCAGAGCTGAAATTGGAGCCAGGCCCTGTTTGTCTCCCCTCTTGCCTCCGTGGGTGACAGGCTCTTCCCTTCCATCAGGTGGACCCAGACCTAGCACCCACACCCCACAATAGTTCATCTCGATTTGACTGCAGTTCTATCTCCACAGCTGTGAGTACCCATCTGTTCCCTCCCTAACCCCCACTCCCACCCCCTTAGCACTCAGCTGGGACTGTCATGATTGTAGTAATTAAGACCACCATTTAGTGAGCCTGTTCTGTATGTAGCATATATAGCTCATTGAATCCACATGACAGTACTGTGAGCTGGGCACCATAATCATCCCTCATTTTCCAGATGACGAAACAGGTTCACAGTCTGTCAATACCTTGACACACAGCTAAGGAGTGGCAAAGCTTGAACCCAGATCTGTTTGACTTCAGAGCCTGTGTTTGTAGCAATTCCAATGGCTGGTTTCTGTTTCTCCTGGGCCACTTGGTTGGGAGGTTTGTTCCCGAGAAGGTCTGGAATCTTTCTCTGTTCTCCTGTCCCAGGCGGTGCTCCTCGCAGATATCCTCCCCACCCTCGTCATCAAATTGCTGGCTCCTCTTGGCCTTCATCTGCTGCCCTACAGGTCTGGGAGGGTGTGGTGGGAGGAAGGCAGGTGGGGTCTGAGAGTGGGGAGGAAGGAAGGGCAAAGGAGGTAGCAGGAGGTCTGGGAAGCAAAGAATGGAAGTGACCTTCCTCTTCACTGCCCTTCTCTCCCCTCAGCCCCCGGGTTCTCATCAGTGGGATCTGTGCCGCCGGAAGCTTCCTCCTTGTTGCCTTTTCTCATTCCGTGGGGACCAGCCTGTGTGGTGAGTGTGAGGTTTTGTGTCAGGTGGAAGGCCCAGAGGAACCACAACAGGATGTTTGGGGGGGTCATCTCCCCAGCTTCCCAGAGGAAAGGGATTCCTTTTATAGCCCTCAGAAGCCTGCTAGGACTGACACAGGTAGGAGATGAGAGGTGAGGTCAGTTTGGAGAGGCAGGTGGGGGAGGGGTGGAGGGGAGAAAATGGATGAATTAGATGGAAAATTGAGATGAGCAGAGTCACCAAGACTCTGTGATAGGGCTGGAGGAGGCCTCAAGGATGAGTCCTTGCTGCTGGTTTGAGAACTGGGTTGGTGGAGGTGCCATTCCTGTGAGAGGACATGTTGGGCAGGAGGTGGTTCTGTTTTCCATCTGGATCCCCGCCTGTCCAGGGATCTGTTTTCAGCCCTTCTGAGCTGATGCAGAGGAGGCTGTGGCCAGACACCTCGGGGGCTATCGGAGAGGCTCGGTATGGCCACTGCTGTGCTCGTCCTCTCCCAGGTGTGGTCTTGGCTAGCATCTCATCAGGTCTGGGAGAGGTCACCTTCCTCTCACTCACCGCCATCTACCCCAGGTAAGTAGGCAGAGCAGGGAGTCTGGGGGGCATCCCACTGCTGGTGCTGGTCCCCCTGGTGCTCCTCTGCTCTCCTCCTCAGGGCTGTGATCTCCTGGTGGTCCTCAGGTACTGGGGGAGCAGGGCTGCTGGGGGCACTGTCCTACCTGTGCCTCACACAGGCTGGCCTCTCCCCGCAGCACACCCTGCTGTCCATGCTGGGCATCCCAGCACTGCTGCTGGCCAGGTAAGCTTCCCTGGGCCATGTGGAAGAGGGGTTTGGAGAGAGAGAACTTGATTGTGATCCCAATCTTCATATCCCTACAGCCTTGTTAAGAGGGGAATTGGATCCTAGACTCTGGTAGGCCTGGATTTGAGTTCTGGAGCTGCCACTTGTTAGCTGTGTAGTGGGCCACGTTGCTTCACCTGTTTCCCTTATCTCAAATAATGGTGGTTCTCCTTGCTTCCCTGTGAGGTGGATATGGCAAATATCATAAAGGCAAATGTAAGTGTCTAAAATTCAGGAAGTTCTGGCCCAGCATGGAATGAACACATGATAAATGCTAGCTAGGGCAATCATTAGAATAATAATGAAAAGAAAACAGCTGACTTGCTTGGTGTGAGCCAGGAGTCAGAATGAGGATAGACAATTTCAACTCTGAAGAAGGAAGCATTTTCCATAGTTAGAGCTCTGCAGTACAAGATGGAGTGCATTAGAGTCTAGAAATGACTGGAGCTGCCCTGGGAGGGAGTGGCCTTTCCAGCCCAATAGAGGCTCCTCAATCTTATCTTCATTCTGCCCTCTCCTAGCTATTTCTTTTTGCTCACATCTCCTGAACTCCAGGACCCTGGAGGGGATGAAGAGGCAGAGACAGCAGCTCGGCAACCCCTGATAAACAGCGAAGCCCCACAGTCAAAGCCAGGTAGGAGACACAGGATTCTCTTGAGTCTCTCTCTGGATTTTCATCTTTTCCTCTGTTTAGTGGACACAGTCAGAAGTGGATGGGTGTGCTGATTATGGTAAAAACCAGTTGCATTTATCTGTTCAAGAAATAGTCAAGAACTTCTATGTGCCAGACATCCCAGTCACTGGTTGTGGAGCATGACTAAGATGAAATGAGGCAGATGCATCAACAAATGACTGACTGGGAAGACACTGTTCTCACACACTGGTCAGTGCCGAAGGACATAGAGCAGTGACATGCTAGACACTGGGAAAAATGGAAAGGGATTCTGTTTAGGGTCGTCAGTGCAGGCCTTTTTGAGAAGGTGTCAATGGGGCTGAAACTTGAATGACAAGGTGTCAGCCCTGTGGACATCATGGTGAGCAGGCTCCAGGCAGAGGGAGCAGCAAGTGCTAAATCCCTGTAGCAGGAAGGAGCTTGGACATTCAAGAAACAAAGAAGGCCAGTGTGGATGGGGTGAAGATGGGGAGCCAGGGAGCCTGAAGAGGTCTCATCTGTTTCTTTTTATTTTTTCAATTGTGGTAAAATAGACATAACGTCAAGTTTACCAATTTCACCACTTTTAGTTGTACAACCCAGTGGCATTTAAATGCATTCCCACCGTTGTGCCGGCTAGTTGATTCTTGCACCCCAGTGCCTCTTTGCTGAGTCAGTGTGCCAACCTTACCTGCTCTTCTCTTCCTGCTCCCCTGCAGACTCCAGCTCAGACCTCTCCATTCAGGAAAGGTGGACTGTGTTCAAGGTATGGATGGTGGCTGTGGCATGAGCCCTGTTGCCAGTGGCCATCTCCCAGGCTTCCACTTATGTCTTCTGACTCTTCCAGGGCCTGCTGTGGTACATCATTCCCTTGGTTCTGGTTTACTTTGCTGAGTATTTCATCAATCAGGGACTTGTGAGTGTGAGCTACAGGGAGGGCTGTGGAAGTAGCATTTGCAGTGGGGACTCACATGTCCCTGACCATCTCCCCTGTCTGGTTTTTGCTGCAGTTTGAGCTCCTCTTCTTTCAGAACACATCCCTGAATCATGCTCAGCAATACCGCTGGTGAGGAGAGTGAGGATGGGTGGCCAGACAGGCAGTGAGTTGGGAGGACCCCTTGATGATAGGACCTGGGGTTGGGAGGGGCTGCTCTGCCCAGTAGGCACCCAGAGGCACCTTCCCGTTCTCATCTCAGGTACCAGATGCTGTACCAGGCTGGTGTCTTCGCTTCCCGAAGTTCTCTCCGCTGCTGTCGCATCCGCTGCACGTGGGCCCTGGCCCTGCTGCAGGTACCAAGCCCCTGGCTTCCACTCCATTCCCACCTTGGCTCCAGCTTCCCCAGGCCCTACACTTCCCTCCCTCAGCAGAAAGCATTTATTGTTAATTGCCATGTTCTGATCCCAGGGAACAGAAGGCTAGCAGGGCTCCATGTAAAATGTGTGACCACAGGAGCCAGGCAAACCTGAGTATGATTGCCAGCTTCTGTATTCTGCTGTGTGACTTAGGGCAGGTCTCCTAACCAGTTTGAGCATAGGTTCCCTCCTTTAGAAATTGGGTGCAGCCAACATCTACTTGTCAGGGTGGTTGTAAGAAATAGAGATGAAAAGAATGAAAGAACAAGAATTTATATTGTGTTTAATCAGTTAGATGCCTTTATTTAGTGATTATTTACACAAGTCTCATGTAGAGACTATAGGCTTTGAAATAACACTTCTAATGATTAAAAAAACGTGTCTGGATGGTTAATTATGATAGAGTGTGTGACACTGCAGTCAACAGGTTATTTCTTTCAAGGCTGGTGAGCAAATTAAGCTACCCACGGCAGAGGTATTCTACAGCTTAAGTGAACAAACACCATTTCCTACTATAGGCTGAAGTACTTTCACATAGCCAACATTCAGTTTTTCAAGATCACATGTCTACAGCTGCTGAAGGTAACTATTAAAATAAGCCTGCAACTATTGCAGGAAAGTCCTCTGCCCTTTTTAATAAACTTAATTCTATGATAGCAAGATAACAGAATCAGTATACATTACACTTGAATGTTATGGCAACAGCATGTAAATATTCTCTGCCTTTCTTCCTTATTTATCTAAGCATACTGCCAGCCAGGGCTTTGTACTCCCAAAGTCCCAAATTGTTGGGTCAACAATTCTTAACTCAGGGTTTTTTAGTAGATACCACCAAAATGTGTAGCTTATGATTTTAACTAAACTTCTAACCATGGCTGCTTCATAGAATTAGCAGCTTATAATCATTTGATTCCATTACAGAAAGTGCGTAGCCTAATGCTATAGCTGAAAGTATTTGCAGTGGCTTGCCAGTCACATTAGTATTACTGGGGTATGTTCTTTTAAATGCAGGTCTCTGAACTCACCTCAGAGTAATGAATCAGAACCTCTGAGGGCGAGCCGTGTGCGAGTAACGAGCTCCAGGCGATCTCTATGTACTATGAATGCCGTAGTGGCCTACACACTGGGAAGGCAGCCCTATGTGCTCAAGACTGGGGCAGTGGGATCCCCTGAAGAACTGGGGTGCAGAGGAGGGACCTAACGCCCTCAGGTGGGGTCAGAGAGGCTTCCTGGAAGATGTGGGAACATCTAAGTCAGAGGTCCTCAGACCTGGCACTATTGACATTTGGGGCCGGATCATTTTGTGTTGTGCCAGCCTGTTCACTGTACGATGTTGAGCAGCATCCATGGCCTCTACCCAGTAGATGTTGGTTGCACTCTCTCTCCCCAGTTGTGACAACCAGGAACATGTGCAGATGTTACCACATGTTCTTTGGGTGGCAAAGTCACACCCAGTTGAGAACTGTTGGTCTAACCATAGCCTGGTCTAACAGTTTGGTAAAGTGGTGGGAAACTCTATTCAGGAAGTCCGTGGGAGGAGGAACATGATGACGGGAGAGTGGCCCTGATCTAAAGGCTCAACTGTGAAAAGTGGTGACTAGGAGATCCCAAATGAGGGAAGGGGGGTTAGCATTCGGTGGTATGGTAGGAGGGACATGAGCAAAAGGCATGGTGTGGGGTGCTGAGATGGGGTAGGGAGGCCTCCCCTAGGTCCCAGGGAATGTAAGCCAGCTGGGTGTTGAGATCTGATCCAGTCCTGTCAGCCCTCTCCCCCATCAGCATCTCCCAGATGGGGTGCTGGATGGGATGGCAGCTTTCCTTCCTGCCTGCCTCCAGTCCCAGCCTCAGCCCTGTCCTCTGCATGCACCCACAGTGTCTCAACCTGGCCTTCTTGCTGGCGGATGTGTGGTTGAACTTCTTGCCAAGCATCTACCTCATCTTCCTGATCATTTTATATGAGGGGCTCCTGGGGGGTGCTGCCTACGTGAACACCTTCCACAACATTGCCCTGGAGGTCAGCACCTGCTGGGGAGGGCTGTGGGGCATCTCCCTGGGGAAGGCCAGGATAGGGGTATCTGGGACTGCAGCCTCACCCCTGCTTCCTGCCCTCTGCAGACCAGTGCTGAACACCGGGAATTTGCCATGGCAGCTGCCTGTATCTCCGACACCTTGGGGATCTCCTTGTCAGGGCTCCTGGCCTTGCCTCTGCATAACTTCCTCTGTCACCTCTCCTGACGGGAGAAACACAGTACACATTGACCTGGGCCCATAATGACAGGCCAAGAGGTCAGAACCCAGGCCCACATCCCAGATCCCATCCGTGAGCTCTGCCCCCAGGCTTCCCTGCACAGCTGGGGTGTAGAGAAGTGCTGGGTCCCTTTCCTGTTGGAGCAGGGGCAGTGATTTTCTCCCACTCCCAAAATGGTCTTGGGGAGTTTCTTCTTGGCATTATGCCCTCAGAATAAATACCTATTTTTATCAATTGAATCTGGTGCCATTTTTCTCCTTGAGAAATTTTTTCTTTCCTACAAAAAATACAAGCAGGAGAAAAATGCAGGAGAGTTTAAAGAAAGCATTTCAGTAGACTTATACCTAGTGTTGAACAGCTCGTGTAATCTAATACTGTACTGAGTGAAAAACAAGAGTGATTGAGGATGTGTGGGATGGGGACCAAGAATATGCATTTCTGTGCTCAGGTGATGCTGTTCTGCTGTTCTCAGGACCACCCTTTGAGAACCATCGAATTATGCTTTTCCTTTAAAAAAATAATTTACAGGCCCTTTTTCCTTTTCAAACTTACGAGTATGTTCTTCAGGCCAGGAACTTTTTTGCTGTGGATACAAAAACATTTCATTAGAATGGGTGCATAATATTCCACAACAATGCAGCCTCACAACTTAATTTAATCATTCTTTTAATGCTGGCCATCAAGCTTGTTCACTATTACTATTATTATTATTATTACTAAAAATAGCGCTTTGTACATTAGATATTTTCTCTATATAAGAGTATTTCTTTAAGACAGATCCTCAGTAAAATTTGAAGGGATGAGTGCTTTTTTAGGTTTTGGTACTGTTAAAATGAAAGGCCCAACATGATGTCATCTCTGCTAGGCCAAGTCACCAAACCAGAGCTTGATACCTAACCTAATTATAGTTTCAACCTCTCCCTGAAAGCCAGTTAGGAATTTTCTGGTCAGCACAGATAACATAACATCACATGTGCCCTCTCCATCCCCAAAAGAAGATGAGGCCATCCACCTAATGATACCCTTAGCCTTGCCTCCTCCCACAGCATCAGTGTGCACAGCACGGTCTTTGGGACGCTGACTAGATGTATCCCTGCCACATTGCTTGATGTACTGGTAAAATGTAACCTCTCTTCTGCATATATCTCCTTCTATAGATAAATTATTTAAGAAGTCTTCAAACGAAGGGGCGTTAGAGCAGTTTATCAGAGCACCCTGATGGGTTGCTGTGGGGCCATGGTCCTCAGTAAGACTCTGAATGAACTCTGTCCTAAGTAGTCATGTTGATTTTGGTGGGCAATATGTAAACACTTTGTTTTCTGGAAGTTTTTTTGTTTGTTTTTCTACTTCATATTGCACCAGTTGTGTGTTCTGAGCACATTTAAGGGAGGCTACACTATGTCATGATGTCTGTTAAGTGTATTAAATGCATTTTTTACTTAATGATATTTTGTGTGTGTGTGTGTGTGTGTGTGTGTGTGTGTGTGTGTGTGTGCATGCGCCTGTGTGTTTCACAGCATGCTCTTCAGCATGGGGTATAATCATTTTTGATTCTTTGCTGAGTGAAAACAATCTTCATTATTTACAAATATCTTCAATAGCTTTATTGAGATACAGTGCACATACCATGCAGTTGGTTTTCAGTATCATCATACGTGTGTCCATCACCACAGTCAATTTTGGAACATCTTTTCACCTCAAAAAGGAATCCTGTATCGTTTGGCTACCACCCCTTACTCTTCTCTTCCTTTCTTCCCTGAGCCCTAGCAAACTTTTTCTTCTCAAAGTTGTATAATTTTAACTCTTACATTTAGGTCTCTGATCCATTTTGAGTTATTACTGCATGTGGTGTGAGGCAGGGGTGTGTGCAGATCAGAGTTAACATAGCAGGCCAAAACTACTGACCTTGTAAAAGCCTGTTTGCAAGGATGGCCTATGACTAGAACTTGGGAACTTAGATTTCAGGAGGATTCCCACTGTTACTTGATAAGGGTGGCCCACACTGCCTAAACTGTTTATACAAACAATGTGGTTTATGCTGAATACCTGCTTTCCTCCTGGCAGTCTGGGATTTTCATACCTGCTAGGCAGAGTGCCTCTGTGAACAGCCCCTAGTAAAACCCCTGGCACTGAGTCTCTAATGAACTTCTCAGGTTGGCAACATTTCATATGCATTGTCATGACTCTTTGCTGGGAGTATATCCTATGTGATTCCCTAGGACAGGACTCTTGGAAGCTGGTGTCTGGTTTCCTCCAAACTTCACACCATGTGTCTTCCTTTTCCCTTTGCTGATTTTGCTTTGTTTCCTTCGGCTGTAATAAATTAGCCATGAGTATGATCACATGCTGAGTCCTGTGAGTCTTCCTGGTGAATCAATCACTGAACCTAAGTATGGTCTCAGGGACCCCCCAACACAGGACCCAACTTCATTCTTTTGCATGTCGATAATCCAGTTGTTCAAGCACCATTTGTTGAAAAGAATTTCCTTATTGATTTGTTTTGGTACCTTGTTGAAAATCAGTTGACTGTAAATGTGAGGATTTATTTTTGGTCTCTTAGTTTGATACCATTGATCTATATGTTTATTCTTATGCTAGTACAACACTGTCTTGATTACTGTAGTTTTGTAGTAAGGTTTTGAAATTGGGAAGTGTGAATCCTCTGGTTTTGTTCTTCTTTTTCAAGATTGTTTTATTAATTTTTGGAAAAACTTGCCAATTTCTGCAAAGAAGCCAGCTGTGATTTTGACAGAGTCAATTCAGGAAGTATTGCCATCTTAATATTATTTTCTGACTATGAACATGGGATGCCTTTGCATTTATTTAGATCTCCTTTATTTTCTTTCAACAATGCTTTGTAATGTCAGAGTATGTATTTTATACTTCTTTTAAATTTATTCCAAAGTATTTTATTCTTTTTGGTGCTTTTGTAAATGGAATTGTTTTCTTGATTTTATTTTTGGATTGTTCTTTATAAGTGTATAAAAATATGATTGATTTTTGCCTATTGATTTTTTTACTCTCCAACCTTGCTGAACGCAATTAGTTCTAATAGGTTTTTGTTAGATTCCTTAGGAATTTCCTAAATACAGGATTATGTGTTCTGCAAACCTTTCTAATCCAGATGCCTTTTATTTTACTTTATTGCCTAATTGCCCTGACTAGAACCTCTAGTACAACATTGAATACAAGGGGCAAGAGTGGACTTTTTCATCTGGTTCCTGATCTCAGAGAAAAAGCTTTCAGTCTTTCATCTTTAAGTATGATGTTAACTGTGGATTTTTGTGGATGCCCGTTATCACACTGAGGAAGTTCTTTTCAATCCTAGTTTATAAAGTGTTTTTTATCATGAAGGGGTTTGGGATATTGTCAGATGCTTTTTTTTTTTTTTGCAACTATTGAGATCGTGTGGTTTTTGTCCTTGATTTTATTGATATGGTGTTTTACATTAATTCATTTTCACATGTTAAACCAACCAACTTTGCATTCCTGATCAATTTCAGTTGGTCATGGTCTGTGTATGAGTTTTAGTATTTTGTTGAGGATTTTTTGTCTGTATTCATAACAGATAGTGATCTGTGGTTTTCTTGTATCAATTTTTTTTGTTTTTTGGGGGGTCTGCTTTCAGTATCTGGATACTGCTGGCCTCCTAAAATGAGTTGGGAAGTGTTCCCTCTTCAGTTTTTTGGGAGAGTGTGTGAAGAACTGGTGTTAATTCTTTAAGTAGTTGTAGAATTAACCAGTGAAACCATCCAGATTTGGGTTTTTCTTTGTGGGTAGTTTTAGCTATGTGGTTTTTAAGCACTTGAGATATTGCTAGTATGACTGAGAAATGAGAATTTTTATTTTATTTATTATTAATTAGTTAACTTAAAGCTACAGATGGCTATTTACTATATTGAACAGAGCAGGTCTTGGACAGTGGTTCTCAGTGGGATGGTACTGCCCCCTATGGTCCTGTGGAAGTTTGTGGGGGTTTTGAATCTCACTGTGAGTGGGGGCAGCATCCTTAGAGGCTGAGAGCCAAACTATCCTGTGATATGTAGTAATGTTCTGTATGAAGAGAATTTTTCCTATGCCTCAGTGTCCCCCTAGACATCTAGCAATTTGTGCCAAGACTCTAACTTTATTTTACACGTGAAGCCAAAATACATTTTGCTTGGTTTTAATATACATAGAATTTTCCAGGAATTCAACTATCATGTACATTGAAGGGACATTGTATTTTGTTTTGTTTGGCTCTTTACCAAGAATTGTTCACTATATTTGGAAAATCCCTTCACTGAAGGCAACACACATAATAAAACCCATTGTTTTCTGAGCTGCCTTAATTCACTGTGATTCAAGTATGTAAAAATGTAAAATGCTAAGTATATGTATACATACTTATTTCAAAATGTCAAATATAAAGAAAAATGTTCAGCAATTGTTCATATTGTAATCCTCTCCTTATAAATCCATACTGTGTCATTGCAAGCAGGTGCAAATCTCTGACTGCTACTTTCTGTATCTTCTAGGGAATTCATGTGTCATCATTTACATATTTAAGTACACATTTGAAATAAAAAGCGATTTTCCTTTTTCTCCATTATAAGTACACTTAGAGCATGGCAGTATTT